TCCTACTCACTTCTTTTCCTGTTTTCAAAGGAGACTTGGAGTGAGTGGATGCTTTTTCAGAAAATTGTGTTTTATTTTTGTTAATGTGAGCATTGTTTGAGTCAAAATTACTCGTTGATTGGGAAGCTATGTTGGACTGGGAATTTTCTCTTAATAGTGTAAGTTCTCTCAATAGTCTCTCCCTCTAACTTTCAAAACCTTCTTTTCCTCTTCAAAACTTTTTCTTTGATTTTCCAAATAAATGTGTAAGTTTTCAATCTTTTTGATCAATGGAGGGATGTAGGGTTCTTCTCCACTAGACTATGAGGTTGAAGGGGGTTCCTAGTCCCACACGACTTCCGTTTCAGAAGGATAAATGCTCACACTCTCACAAGTTGAAAACTCAGGTTCTTTCGTTTCATAACTTTTATTCAAAGGAGTATAATCAAAAGAGATTGCAGTTCCAATAGGGTTATATCTCTTTTCTTCTTCTTCCTCAACTGTTTATTTCTCACAAATAAAAGACATTAACTTGGTCAATCCTAGACCCATGTAATCGATATCATAAAGTTGAACACAGTTCACTTTCTTCAGATTACACGGATTAGATAGACCAAGTCCTTCTTTGGAATTATAAAAACGAATGTCCTTGTTTTGGTTCAAGAAAATGGTTTGTTCAGTTTGCCCTTTCTTTGCAATTAAGTCCCCCAGATCTTTGATTTTGCTGTAAAGGACATTTCTTTGTTCATGAAGAAGGTCTTTTTCAACTCTTTCTTGATTTCGCTCTATCTCAGTCTCATGCAACCTCTTAGTCAGATTAGCTATTTTCAGTGTTAGCTTTTCTGTTTCTAGAGTCACCTTTTTTAACTTTATCTTTGGCATTTTCCAACTGTATGCTTAGTGAGATATTTTGGTCTAGATTTTCTACAAAGACCTTGTAATTATTGTCTACTCTCCTTTAGTTCTATAATGATTTTATCCTTATCATGTAAGGAATGAATTTGACATGTACATGAGCAAGGAGATTTAGAAACACTTACATCGCTATTAGAGCCTTCACTTTCTATTTCAGGGATCGCCGCATTACTCTTTTCTTCTTCATTCTCAACAATCGCCATCAAAGCCAAGTTCTCCTCATCTTCATCATCATAAGAGTCATCCAACCAATGATCTTTCTCGGCAAGCAGTGCAGCATTTTCTGTTTATAGTAGTTGAAGTCCCTCCTCCTTGGTAAGCGACAGTCCTTGATAACATGTCCATCTTTTCCACAATTAAAGCACTTAGGAGGTTCTTCTGCTGCAACTGCCTTTCCAGAGGCATTCTGATCATTGTTCTTTTGTTTGTAGTTGGATGAAGATGTTCTCAGCTTGTTTGATGAATTGTTCTTCTTCACAAACTTCTTGGTCAACAGGGCCATCTTCTTCTGCGACTCAGCTAACTCAGATTCAACATCAAATTCTTCTTCACTTTCTTCTTCCTCAGACACAACTACTGCTTTCTTTTTCTTTTTCAGAATCTTGGATGATTTCTTTGGTTATGCTTCCATCATGAGTGCCAATGGATCAGTAGCAAACTGTCCTTCCATATCAGCAGTTTCATTCACAAACTGCTGTAAATGGTCATGAATGGTACATAGATCAACTTCATCCAAATCCAGGTGTTGCCTCACATTCTTCACAGTTCTCCTCCATTCTGGGTTTAAACTTGACAGAACCCGTATATTCATTTCCACATTGGACTTGAACACATTGATCTTTCTCAACTCGTTTATCAGCTTAACAAATCTGTTATAGGTTTCATGAAGTGGTTCCCCAGGCATGGCTTTGAAGGAGTCATAGGCAGTCAGTGTGCTGACCTTCTTTGTCTTTAGTCCAATACCAGTCCCTTGCATTAGTTTGGCAACTTCATCCCACATTTCCTTAGTTGTCTGCATGCTGTCAATCAGAATGTAGATATCATTAGGGATTGCTTGAAGTAGGAAAGTCTTTGCCATTAAATCATCTTAGCTTTCACTCTCAATGTATCCTCTTCATAGTACTCAGCCACAGTTTTCAATCTTCTAACCGGGACAACTAGAGGATTGTTGCCATCGTTTCCTGCTACGTTCATCCATATCTCAACAGGTCCTTGGTTCAACGATTCCAGCATCGCTGATGAATTATCTTTACTCTCGAGGAAATTCAGAAAGCGGTTCTTCCACATTTGGTATTCTCCTCTCCTTAGGATTGGAGGGTTGTTGCTGTTTCCGAGAGCTAAAGCGTCCATTTTGTTGTTCTTCTAAAAATTGACCGTTCAAGTATTGATCTGTGAAACATTCAAAGTACAAAGTATCGAAAACCTAAGTTCGAGAATTGAGAGTTCGAGAAAAGCTTATCGAGAAAGGAGATTTCGATATTGGAGTTCGAGAAACTTGTATTTGAGAAAACAGAATTCGAGAACTTGTTTATCGAAAACGGATATCTAGAAATCAAATATCGAAAAACAATATCGAGAAACTTATATCGAGAACACACTTCTAAAACCAAGATATCGAAAACATGTACTTAGAAAATTTTGATTTTTGCAATTTTAAAAGTTATTCTGCTAAGTCCTTGATGTCGAGAAACGTCCTGCAGTGGTTTTAGATCGAAAACCCTTCTTCGATGTCGAGAAACCTGTTTTTCGATACTACAATATCGAGAAATCAAAAACCTAAAGTTTACAGGAATCGAAAAAGAAGATATACTAGTTGATCATTTTGAAGAGGCGATTTCAGCAGTATATCTTTTACAAAGATTCGAGCAAAAACAAGATTACAGAGCTAAAATACTAAAGCATCGAAAAACATAAAACAAAGTAATTCTCCGCAGTTTTTCGCAGTTCTGATCTTCACTCGATCGGCTCTGATACCAGTTGCTGGTCCTAAAGTATGAGATTAGACAATCAGTAGAATGGATTCATCGATATAACAAAGTAGAGATTCAAATAATGATATGAATATTTATCGAACAGTGAAAACTCTCTTCTATTGAATATCAAAAATCACTACAGAATGATAGATTCCTTATACGCTCAACTTTTAATACCTACACCATACGCGTATATTTATAGGCGCAGATGTAGGTTTTCGTAAAGGCCTAAAGCCTAGGGATATGATTCTGACATATTTGGACCCATTTCTTTTCTAGTCTATTTATTGCAAAAGGATTAATACCATAAAATGCGTACAATAGAACTAAGTAATAAATAATAAACAAGACTCTAAACAAACTTGAATCACAACAAAATAATCTTCAACAATGATCATAATTTTACTATAATTATATTTACGGTTCTAATTATAATTATATTTATGATAATTAAATATTATTTATAATTATAATTACAATTATAATTATAATTGTGATTATAATACTAATTGTAATTGTAATTGTAATTAGAACTGTAATTGTAATTATAAATATAATTGTAATTGTAATTATAATTATCATTGTAATTGAGTTTATAATTATAATTGTAATTGTAATTATAAAGATAATTGTAATTGTAATTGTAATTATTATGGTAATTGAGTTTATAATTGTAATTGTAATTGTAATAGATACAATAATAGTACTACCTCCATCCCTTAAAACTTTGCCACATCTGAGTTTGTCCAGAGAAAATGGAATTAACTGGAACCACATATTCTTTACTTTAAAGGGAAAGTGACAAAGTTAGTGGAACAACAAAAAAGGAAAGTTGACAAAGCTTTAAGGGATGGAAGAAGTATTAATAATATTAATAATAAAAGTGATAAATCATGTCTGAATTTTTTTGATCAGATCAGAATGTTTCTTGTATGATTTGAATGTTTCTGATCCGATCTGATTCTTTGTGATCCAATATGATTTGGTCTGAATTTTTTCTGATCTGGTTTGAATAAAATAAGAATAAGAAATGGGTAATAAAACAAGATGAATAGAACAGCTTCTAAGTCGCTCAGCCACCATTGGGGGTAGCTCCCACTCATGTTTCTATGGTCCATCGCGGATTTTTACAATCACATACATACTATTTAGACCAAGATGAGTATAATATGTGATACCGAGAATATCGGGTAATTCTCATTCTCGTTTTGGGCCCCACATGCATTTTATTATTCTCGTAACAGAATGAACAAAAAAAATTTACAATCACATAAATTCATTAACTATTATTCAAAATTCAATGCATAATTTGATAAAAGTAAATATAGTTGAGCACTGTATTCATACCATGAGAGATGTAAGGACTTGGCATCGATAGCGTTTAAAGCTAAACTAATAAATTGGTTAAATACTACCCCCTCTATCCCCTGATAATTGTCCCATTTTTTCATTTTTGGATGTCCTCCTATTAGTGTCTCACACTATATTTGGTAACATTTGTGTGGCTCTAATTAATTCTTACTTTATTCTGACTTTATCAACTCATTATGAACCACATAATTCTACTTTTTTTAAAAACCACATCATTTTCTAAGGTTCCAATATTAGAGGGACACATGCATCATTTGAACTTGTTTTAAAATGTGAAACTTGTGTTTTCAGCTTATTAATCATTTTTTTAACAATCGATTAACTATTCACTCTACACGCTGAAATTTGTAATAATCAAGATAAATAAGTTTGAAGTTACTTTCTACTTGAATTGGTCGAATCTACTATAGTCGGTCTTTTTAGCTAATTTTTCATATAATATTTTTGTTTACTTTGTTCATACCATATATGCAGTACTTTAAATATTATATCTATAAACTCAGTAGATTTAGCCTAGAATTTCATCAATTTTCAAATGAATTTTAATTTTTTTTAAAAAAATAATAGGCTCAATCAATTCCAATATTTATTATGAAATGGGCTCTTAAGGAAGGGTTAGTTCTAACTTCTAAGCCCGTCCATTCTGATCTACTTTGGTCTTCAACCCGACCTAATATAGTGCGGGTCCTAACCCGGTGCCGTCCCTATTCATACCATGAGGTGATGAGACGTAAATCGCAGCATAAAGCATTTGTACGAAACTATTAACCGCCTCATCGCTATTTAATAAACTTTAGGCTCCCGGCGAATTCATTCCGAAAGAAGCACATCCCAAACAAAGAGAAACTCTGTTGCCAAACCCTATACTTTTCTCCGTCTGGAAGAAGACAGTGTCGGAAAACAGAGCCTTTTAATGGTTGCAGAGAGTAAGGAAGAGGAGGACAGACATTGGGAGGTGTCAATGGGGATGGGTTCTCGAAGATCGAATCCGCCGCTTCACAATTTCACGCTTCCCTGTGGTTTAAAGTGGGGGAACCAGAAGCTCTTGCGGTGCGGTAACCCGGATTCTATGGGCCAATTCCCCTCAGTTCACCGGAGATTTAATACTTTGTCGCCGGAAATATCGCTTGGGAAGCAAAGTGGGTCGGAAAGCGATTCTGGGTTGCGGCGTCTCGGATCAGATGAGGCGGTTCTGGGGGTGGGTGTTGTAAAAAATGGGCCGGCGAATGGTGCCCGGGAATTTCCGGCGGAAGTAGAAGGGATCGCCACTGTGAGGAAGAAACTGCTGGGTGATTTCCAAGCGGCGACGGATAAGATGAAGGACGCGCTTTTGACGACGCGCCTGAAAGCTGAAGGGCGGCTGGTGGAGGAAGATTGCGAGGAACGGCCGCCGCCGGCTTCGACGACTGCCCCGAACACTGTTTCGCCAGTGGGTCCATCTGAACGCGCCATGCCGTGGAACTTGCGCACTCGCCGGTCGGGGAGTAAGCAGCCAAATGGGCCCGCCGCCGCTTCCGGCGAATCAAATTCGGGTTTGATGATCGACACTACGACGCTGCCATCGATGACCGAAGACAAATCTCCAAGAGTCCGGTGTAGCTCCGCCACCGCTTCAGTTCCCGCCGCCGCCGCAGCAAGAGTATTTCCCGTCAGAGAGAGTGGGGAGAGGGCAAAGTTCGCCGTTGCCCTATCCCGGCAAGAGATCGAGGAAGATTTCGCGGCGATAATCCGTCACAGACCATCTCGCCGCCCCAAGAAACGAGCTAAAAATATTCAGAGCAATCTTGATGTAAGTCATCTTTCATCAATTTTTAAAGTAAACACAATCTAGAATTTGCGATTATTCATAGTGAAAATCGATCTGATTATGTAATCGATTAAATTGCAGAGCCTATTTCCTGGATTGTGGCTGACGGAAATTAGTGCTGTTATGTACAAAGTTACTGGTGATAAGTAGAAAGAAAGGAGTTTTCTCTTCAAGAAGTTTGTTCAGCCTATCTTTCTCTGGCCAACTGAGAACATAAAGATTTCTGTGGTGGTTGGGTCACTGTTGGTGTTAGAAGATGCAGATTCTATTTTATTCATTCATTTAAGAATTAAGAAGTATGATTAGCATTTGTTAAAACTGATTTCTTTTTCATTTCCGTTGATGATGGGTATGTTGTTTAGCTTGAAGACAATTCTTCAGATCACAATCCTATTCAAATTTGATTTTCCCAATAGAAATTGTCCAATAGGAGTAAATATAAACATAATTGCACAAATAGGAGTAAAATTTAAAACTTCCTTCAATAGGAGTAAACATTAATTTTGTACTCTTAATATCCCTAACCTAGTTAATTCTAAAATATGACTTATTTAATCCTAACCTAGTTAATTTATGACTTATTCGATAATAATTTATTTATTTATTTATTTATTTTTCAAAAAATAAAAAAATATAGATTTTTTTAAAAAAATAAAAAACTCAAAAAAATTAAATAAAATTCACCGCCGCCTCTGCCGCCTCTGCACCACCACCTCCAGTCACCGGGGGAAAAAATGTCAAGTTCATTACGAATGTCATATTTATGGCAGAAAACAATGAAAATGTTGGCATTCGCAAAGAGAAATATGCCATGTTTTTGGCATTTTCATTAAAAGGCAGTTTTTAGGAAAAATTGAATTTTTTTTCACCGCCGGGAGGTGGTGGTGCAGGGAGGTAGTACAAGCGGTGGGAAAGGCATCTATATTTTTTTAATTTTTTCTATGGAGTTTTACTATTTTTTATATTTTTTTTTTAAAATAAAAAATTTAAAAAAAATAAAAAAAATTATTTTATTAATATTTTTATAATTTTTTTAATTATTTTTCTACGATTTTTTGAATTTTTTCGAATTTATTAAGAATTAAACATTTAATTAAAAGTTGTTGGGGCTTGGGTAGGGGTATACTTGTCCAAACACTAAAGTTACTCCTATTTAAAATATGGTACTCCTATTTTTGCATTTTGCCTATGTTTTGATTCTATTTGGAGAATTCTTTTCCCAACTATATACGTTTAAATCTTTTTATTTTTGTAGGATCCAATGGTTATGAGATATGACTAATGCCTATGCTTGTTACAACAATAACTAACCATTTTCTTTGGATGAAGTTCTATCCATTCTAATCTACTCACCATAATTAGGAAACTTGACATTATATTATATTTATGATAACATAATATTGTTACTACTTTTCTTAAAAGTTTGTCATCTTTCTTTTTTAGATGTTTTAAAAACTTTGCTATTTTTCTTTTTAATCAATTAATTAGTGGTTCATATTATTTCTTTCCTCTATGCATAAACCTCAATCAGACATTATTTATTTTATTATTATCCGTGTCAGTCAAACTTGGTAAGTTTTAAAGAACGTATGCAATATCTAATAACTATTACACCCTTGAAGTTATGTCAGGGATGCATTGCACAATTTGAATTTTAAAAATATAGAACGATGAGAAGTTCATCTTGTAGTGAAAATGTCATCAACTCTCTCCAGGCGAGTTCCTTACTCTTCAGAGTCAACCCAATAGACTCTTTATTTAGTGCCAGCTGAGGGTGAAATGAGGAATGATGAGCTCTGAGGTAACGCGAAACCCTAAGGTAGCGCAGCCGCCCCAAGGCGTATGGAGTGGACGTCCGCCGTCAGGAGGGAGTGCCTGATCCTTTGCAGAGGTTGTGGCAGATCGAGATGGAGTAGGTTCTCTTTCATTGAAAATGCCTACTAGATTCAAAGGGGTACCAGCAATTGCCTTTCCAGAGAAGGAGATACAGGATCTTGCTGCGAAGCATAGGAAGGATCTGGTTGGATATTTTTTCAAATCTCGTCCTAGTGTGATTAATATGAGGAAATCTTTTGAAATTGATGGTTTTAGGGGCAACTTTCAGTTAGGCCTTTTAAATCAAAAATATGTTCTAATTCGGTTTGATTCGGATGAAGATTATTTGAGATGTTGGAACAAGCAATCATGGATCATAAACGGATGTGTTATGAGAGTCACGAAATGGACTCCTGAATTTAGACCGAACGTGGAATCCCCTTTGGTTCCAGTTTGGCTTGGACTTGAAGATCTGCCTATCCATTTACAGGATAAGAGTGCGATGTTTGATATTGCTTCACTGATTGGCAAGCCAATGAAAATTGATGCGGCCACAGCATCACTGGCGAGGCCTTCTCTAGCAAGAATTTTGGTGGAACTGGATTTAACAAAAGAAATGCCAACGAAAATTTGGATTCAGTGTGGATCCTCTGGTTTTATGCAATCAGTTAGCTATGAAAACAGGCCTGAGTACTGTAATTGATGCTTTCATTTGGGACATTCTGCCACTAAATGTCCCAAAAAACCTTTGGAGAATGCGCTAGTATCTACTGCCAAAGAAAGATGGGCACCTAAACTCAGTAATAACATAGTTGCACAACCCAAATACACCAGAGCAGAGAAAGGAAAAGATAAAGTCCAATTTACAGAGCCTATTACTGAGCAAGTTATTACAGATATAGCAACAACATCTACAGCTCATGACAATGGTAACAATGGGGAAATTGTGGAAATAGAACCAGGAATTCTCCTGGACTCATCAGCACCTCACCCTAAAGATAACGTTTCCAATAAGAAGAAAGAGCCACCTGAGTTGACAGAAGAAATGAAAATGGATTTAGAGGGAGTGCAATTAATTTCTTCTAAACAATTCTCAAATGCTAAGGATGATGCATACCTGAAAGATCTCCATCAATTGCTTGAATATGACTCGGAGTTGGTTTCTAAAAGATACCAATCTGATGGAGAGCATGATAACACAGTGGACAGTGATTCTTGGCTAATTAATTGGCCAGAAATCTGTAGCACTGTTGAGAAGATGGTGTCACAAAAAGGTAATCGGGAGGGGACTCAGAAGCATGAAGACAAAGAACTAAATAATCTGGAAGATGGGTTCACTAAAGTTACTGGGAGAAAGACAAAAAAAAATTGCAGTCGAGGCTTTATCAATGACAACCAGAAATGGAGCCAGGAAGAAAGATAACCAGGGGTTCAGTCAAACTTCTGACAATCTTTCTCAATGAATTGCATGTTTTGGAATGTTAGGGGTCTGGACTCCTCCAGTTCCAGACTTTTTTCCCTAACTAAACAATGGAGGATTCATGTTCTTGTTGTTATTGAACCTATCATTCATTTCTCTAAAGCCACCTTGTATAGATCTACTATTGGCCTAAATGAAGTGACTTCTTCTGACAAAAATAAGATTTGGATTTTTTGGGACAATGCTGAGGTGGTTCTGTCTGACTTTAGGTGGTCTGAACAATTTGTGCATTTCAAAGTAACCAAAGGAAGCTTCAAAGGTTGGATTTCTGCAGTTTATGGTAATCATTGCTACATTAAAAGAAAGGAATTATGGGAGGATCTTTTATCAATTTCCCAATCAATGGTGGAACCTTGGTTTGTGGGTGGTGACTTCAATGCAATTTCAAATTTTAATGAACATCAAGGCAGGAGCATACCTTTACTGACCAGCATTCAGGATTTTTCCAATTGCATCTCACGCTGTAATCTGCTAGATCTTCCTTATTCAGGCTGCAAATACACATGGACAGGAGTCAGATCAAATGGTAGAGTATGGAGGAGATTAGATAGAGTATTGATAAATCAACATTGCATTAATCTATTTGACAACATTCAAGTTTCTCATCTTACCAGTTCCCCTTCTGATCATACCCCTATTTTGATTCAATGCACTTTCAATGTCTTTTCTGGCCCCAAAGAATTTAGATTTCAAAATATGTGGTTCTCCCACAATGGTTTTATGGATGTGGTTCAAAAGTCCTGGAACACTCAAAATTTTGGAGGAGGGATGAGGGGTTTAGTAAGGAAGTTACAGCTTCTTAAACAACATCTAAAGATATGGAATAAACAATGCTTTGGAGATATTTTTAAAGATGTTAAGAATTGTGAAGTTGCTGCTTTAGAAGATGAAAAGGCATTTGAGATAGATCCCACTGAGGAAAACAGAGAGAAATGGTCTCATTCTAGAGCTTTACTTCAGACCAAATACAAAGTTGAGAAGAAATTTTGGAAACAGAAAGCTAATATTAAATTGTTGAAAGAAGGTGATGCTAATACAGCCTTCTTTCATTCTTATGTTAATATTAGGAATAAAATGCAAACCATCTCAGCTATTCAAAATTCAGAAGGGAATTTGATAACCTCTATACCTGATATAAACTCTGCTGCTGTTGATTATTTCAAGTCTCTATATTCTGTTGACTCTGGGGTTTCAACTGAACAAATCCTGCAGTTTATACCTCCAAGTATTACGGAAACAGATAATATGATGCTCACAAGATTACCAGATGATGAGGAAGTAAAAAAAGCAGTGTGGGATCTTAACCCCAAAGGTGCACCAGGCCCAGATGGATTCAATGGTAAATTTTTTAGAAAGTGTTGGTCTATTGTTGGGTCTGATGTGATTAAGGCAGTTCAAGAATTTTTCTTGGGCATTTCTATTCCAAAAGGGCTTTCAAGTTCTTGGATTGTGCTTATACCTAAAACAGAAAGACCTACTTCTTATGCTGATTTCAGACCTATATGTCTTTCTAATTTTGTAAGTAAAGTATGTACTAAAGTTTTAGCCTCTCGACTTAGTACTGTTTTACCCAAAATTATTTCTATGGAACAAGCGGGCTTTATGAAAGGAAGGGACATAGCAGATCAGGTCCTTGTGGCACAGGAAATGATACACTCTCTGGACAAGAAGATAAGGGGTGCAAATATTGTTATTAAACTTGACATGACTAAGGCTTTTGACAAAGTCTCTTGGGCTTATCTAGCAGAGGTTCTTAAAAGATTTGGTTTTTCTGATTTCCTCATACATTTGGTGATGAATAACCTTAAAGCAACTTTTTTGTGTGTTATGGTCAATGGAGTTCCACAAGGTTTTTTTAAACCTCTCAGAGGAGTAAAACAGGGTGATCCCCTATCTCCTTTTCTTTTTATTATTGCTGCAGAAGGCTTCTCTAGGGGACTAAACTGACACATAGGTCAAGGTTTGATTAAACCTTATTGGGTTGGTACTCAGGGTTTTCCCATTTCACATTTGGGGTTTGCAGATGACTTGTTGGTCTTTTTAAATGGGGATATAAGATCATTAATCAAATTCAAGAAGTTTATGGAATCTTACCAGAATGCTTCAGGTCAGAGAGTAAATCTGGAAAAAAGCTCTATAGTGTGTGGTAAAGCTGCAGTTAGGAGAAGCACCAGTATTAAGAATGTCCTGGGGATGAGGGTGTCATCTTTGCCCCTTAAACATCTTGGGGTGAACCTGCATAGAGGTATCAATAGATATCAGTTCTGCACTCACCAAATCAAACAATTTGAAAAAAAACTTAGCCCTTGGAGACAGAAGAACTTATCTCAGGGAGGCAGACTAATCTTAATTAAGCATGTACTGAGCTCCATACCCCTTCATACTCTTGCTACAGACACATTACCAAGAAAAGTGATTAAGATTCTTGAAAGCAAGATGGCTGATTTTTTCTGGGGTTCATCAAATAGTAAGAAGAAATATCAATGGAGAAAATGGTCTCAATTATGCATTCCTACTGAGGAGGGAGGACTAGGTATTAGATCTCATACTGATTTGGAAAAAGCTTTCACTCTTAAACTCTGGTGGAAGTGGAAAACAGGTACATCATTGTGGAATACTTTTATTAATTCAAGATATCCAAGAGAAGGAAACTGCATACCTAAAATTGTTGACTCTGCAATTTGGAAAAGATTTTGTGCTATCAATTCTGAAGCTCTTTCATTTTGTTCAATAAATCATTCTGGAGAACTAATCTGGTCATTGGAAGATACATGAAACTTTTCCTTTCAGTCAGCCTACAATGCAATCAGGGATGAAGCTATTAGCACATTCACTCATAAACATATATGGAATGCTAATCAGCAGTTGAAAATCAGCTTGTTTCAGTGGAAAATGTTGAACAATATGCTTCCTATTCCAAATAATCTGAAGAGATTTAATCTGGTGCTTAATCCATCTATTTGTCCTTTGTGTAGGGAACAAGAGGACAATGTCAATCATCTATTCTTTCAATGTAAAATCTCCTACCCTGTTTGGAGATATTTTATGGGACTTTTTGGCATTCCTATCCCACCTATGCATAATACAATTCGACAAATACTGATTTCTTGGTAGCTTAAGGCGGGCAGTAAGAAACTAGAAGATATTTTTAAGCATTCTCTTCCTGGAATGATATGCTGGATCATCTGGAAAGCTTATTCGAATATTATTTGGGGTGAAGGTAATCAACCAATTACATCTATTTATCTTATTAAGCAAGTAAAGGGCTACGTTCATCAATGGGTCTACACTGTGAACAAGCCTAGGATTTCTTTGATAGGGGAGATGTTAATTGAGGAAGACATGGTTCCTAGGGATTTCAAATTAGCAGGGAGACGATTTCAAATTGTTCGATGGCACAAACCTGTCGATGGAGTGAAATTGAACACTGATGCCTCGTTCGCTCCAGGAGGTGCTATGGGAGGAGCGGTAGTGAGAAAGAACGACAGATCCATATGGTCTTTGGTCTCCAGTTCCCTGTGATAGCTTTGTCACCTCTAGAAGCTGAGCTCAAGACGATTATGTTTGCGATAAAATGGTCGATTGATAGAGGCTATGTTGGCTTTCAGGTGGAGTCCGACTCAAGAGTGGCTATCTCCTTTCTGTTGGGTGATGAAGTGCGTAGATGGAGAAGAGAAATTCAGGAAACCCTACTACTCTTGGACAATAAATCAGTTTCATTCAGACACACTTGGCGTGAAGGCAACTGGGTTGCCCATTACATGACCCAAGAACCGGTGACCCAATTAAAAGTTATATCTGATCCAGGTGATCTCCCTCTCCCCGCAAAACGGGCCTATTTCATGGATTTCTACGGGCTTCCGTCTCTTAGATTTAATTAGCTAATTGTTTTGCTAATTCTTTTTTTCTTCTGGAGAGGTATTGGTCTAGTCCCCCTCTCCATTTTGTATGCAACATTTTATTTTAATAAAAAAAAAAGAAAAGAAAATGTCATCAACTTGAAGTTGTGTCGGGACATAGGATGATTTAAATTGCATTGAAATTTTCTAATCTGCTATGATCTATTTAAGTATGATTTAATATGATCTGATTTAAATTGGTCTGATATTGTCTGGTGGAGTAATTACCCAAATAGGAGTTTAAGCAAAATCCATTGCCCATTTAGAAGTATCAACATAAGTTAAGTTTCATAGGTCCAAATTCAGCACAATTGGACAAAACTAACATTGTTTTATTTTAATTTCATGTACTAAGAATTTGTCTAAATGGTGCAACTCCAATCGATGGACAGGGGAAGACTTGGGTACCCATTATTAACAAATCGTCCAAAAAGTGCCCATTTTGTTTGGCATTATTTTGTAGAAAACCTCTTATTATAAGCCCATTTTGATTGGTTAAATTTATACAAACTCCAACAATTACTCAATTCATGTTTTAATTAGAAAAAATGTATAATAAAATAATAAAAAGTATTAAAAACAATATAAAATTCAAAAATAATACAACAATTAAACTAAGAAATTATATATTGCATAATAAAAAAATCAAGGTTTAAAATTGGTAAGAAATTAAAAGAGTGGAGTTAATTTTTTAAAATAAATAAAAATAATAATTTATTTGTCACTTAAAAGTAGCAATTGTGACAATTCATTTGTCACGGTATTAGCTTCTAATGATGACACAAATATATAATTATCACTTTATATGTATAAAAATGACGATTAATTCCATCATCAAATGTAATCTTTTATTCACAATTCTTCTTTTGTCATTATTTATTTCTTTGATGACAATTTATATTGTCAACATAAATACTTTATAAGTGACTAAAAAAGATTGTAACTTAAGGAACTATGCTTGGAGGAAGCGGTCCAGTCCAGCTGGTCGCCGACTCACTCTCCTTTACGTGAGGTCTCGAATTCGAAACTCAATGGAGTGAGTTTCAGCCCAGACCCCACCCCCAGACGCCCCGGGAGTAAATAAAAAAAAGGAACTATAATTGATGATGATTTTTTTTATAATGGTGAATTACGTGTGTTGGGATATTGTACCGAAGGCCCAATAACCGGGCCAAAGGCCCAAAATATCCAGTCCAATAAACTCAATCCAGGAAATTTATACAGCAAATTTGACAGTAACTTTGTACATGTCAGCAAATTTGATGGACATAAAGAAAACTCCTTTCTACTTATCACCAGTAACTTTGTACATGTCAGCACTAATTTCCGTCAGCCACAATCCAGGAAACAGGCTCTGCAATTTAATCGATTAAATAATCAGATCGATTTTCACTATGAATAATCGCAAATTCTAGATTGTGTTTACTTTAAAAATTGATGAAAGATGACTTACATCAAGATTGCTCTGAATATTTTTAGCTCGTTTCTTGGGGCGGCGAGATGGTCTGTGACGGATTATCGCCGCGAAATCTTCCTCGATCTCTTGCCGGGATAGGGCAACGGCGAACTTTGCCCTCTCCCCACTCTCTCTGACGGGAAATACTCTTGCTGCGGCGGCGGCGGGAACTGAAGCGGTGGCGGAGCTACACCGGACTCTTGGAGATTTGTCTTCGGTCATCGATGGCAGCGTCGTAGTGTCGATCATCAAACCCGAATTTGATTCGCCGGAAGCGGCGGCGGGCCCATTTGGCTGCTTACTCCCCGACCGGCGAGTGCGCAAGTTCCACGGCATGGCGCGTTCAGATGGACCCACTGGCGAAACAGTGTTCGGGGCAGTCGTCGAAGCCGGCGGCGGCCGTTCCTCGCAATCTTCCTCCACCAGCCGCCCTTCAGCTTTCAGGCGCGTCGTCAAAAGCGCGTCCTTCATCTTATCCGTCGCCGCTTGGAAATCACCCAGCAGTTTCTTCCTCACAGTGGCGATCCCTTCTACTTCCGCCGGAAATTCCCGGGCACCATTCGCCGGCCCATTTTTTACAACACCCACCCCCAGAACCGCCTCATCTGATCCGAGACGCCGCAACCCAGAATCGCTTTCCGACCCACTTTGCTTCCCAAGCGATATTTCCGGCGACAAAGTATTAAATCTCCGGTGAACTGAGGGGAATTGGCCCATAGAATCCGGGTTACCGCACCGCAAGAGCTTCTGGTTCCCCCACTTTAAACCACAGGGAAGCGTGAAATTGTGAAGCGGCGGATTCGATCTTCGAGAACCCATCCCCATTGACACCTCCCAATGTCTGTCCTCCTCTTCCTTACTCTCTGCAACCATTAAAAGGCTCTGTTTTCCGACACTGTCTTCTTCCAGACGGAGAAAAGTATAGGGTTTGGCAACAGAGTTTCTCTTTGTTTGGGATGTGCTTCTTTCGGAATGAATTCGCCGGGAGCCTAAAGTTTATTAAATAGCGATGAGGCGGTTAATAGTTTCGTACAAATGCTTTATGCTGCGATTTACGTCTCATCACCTCATGGTATGAATAGGGACGGCACCGGGTTAGGACCCGCACTATATTAGGTCGGGTTGAAGACCAAAGTAGATCAGAATGGACGGGCTTAGAAGTTAGAACTAACCCTTCCTTAAGAGCCCATTTCATAATAAATATTGGAATTGATTGAGCCTATTATTTTTTTAAAAAAAATTAAAATTCATTTGAAAATTGATGAAATTCTAGGCTAAATCTACTGAGTTTATAGATATAATATTTAAAGTACTGCATATATGGTATGAACAAAGTAAACAAAAATATTATATGAAAAATTAGCTAAAAAGACCGACTATAGTAGATTCGACCAATTCAAGTAGAAAGTAACTTCAAACTTATTTATCTTGATTATTACAAATTTCAGCGTGTAGAGTGAATAGTTAATCGATTGTTAAAAAAATGATTAATAAGCTGAAAACACAAGTTTCACATTTTAAAACAAGTTCAAATGATGCATGTGTCCCTCTAATATTGGAACCTTAGAAAATGATGTGGTTTTTAAAAAAAGTAGAATTATGTGGTTCATAATGAGTTGATAAAGTCAGAATAAAGTAAGAATTAATTAGAGCCACACAAATGTTACCAAATATAGTGTGAGACACTAATAGGAGGACATCCAAAAATGAAAAAATGGGACAATTATCAGGGGATAGAGGGGGTAGTATTTAACCAATTTATTAGTTTAGCTTTAAACGCTATCGATGCCAAGTCCTTACATCTCTCATGGTATGAATACAGTGCTCAACTATATTTACTTTTATCAAATTATGCATTGAATTTTGAATAATAGTTAATGAATTTATGTGATTGTAAATTTTTTTTGTTCATTCTGTTACGAGAATAATAAAATGCATGTGGGGCCCAAAACGAGAATGAGAATTACCCGATATTCTCGGTATCACATATTATACTCATCTTGGTCTAAATAGTATGTATGTGATTGTAAAAATCCGCGATGGACCATAGAAACATGAGTGGGAGCTACCCCCAATGGTGGCTGAGCGACTTAGAAGCTGTTCTATTCATCTTGTTTTATTACCCATTTCTTATTCTTATTTTATTCAAACCAGATCAGAAAAAATTCAGACCAAATCATATTGGATCACAAAGAATCAGATCGGATCAGAAACATTCAAATCATACAAGAAACATTCTGATCTGATCAAAAAAATTCAGACATGATTTATCACTTTTATTATTAATATTATTAATACTTCTTCCATCCCTTAAAGCTTTGTCAACTTTCCTTTTTTGTTGTTCCACTAACTTTGTCACTTTCCCTTTAAAGTAAAGAATATGTGGTTCCAGTTAATTCCATTTTCTCTGGACAAACTCAGATGTGGCAAAGTTTTAAGGGATGGAGGTAGTACTATTATTGTATCTATTACAATTACAATTACAATTATAAACTCAATTACCATAATAATTACAATTACAATTATATTTATAATTACAATTACAATTATAATTATAATTATAAACTCAATTACAATGATAATTATAATTACAATTACAATTATATTTATAATTACAATTACAGTTCTAATTACAATTAGAATTACAATTATTATAATAATCACAATTATAATTATAATTGTAATTATAATTTTAAATAATATTTAATTATCATAAATATAATTATAATTATAACTCTAAATATAATTATAGTAAAATTATGATCATTGTTGAAGATTATTTTGTTGTGATTCAAGTTTGTTTAGAGTCTTGTTTATTATTTATTACTTAGTTCTATTGTACGCAGTTTATGGTATTAATCCTTTTGCAATAAATAGACTAGAAAAAAAATGGGTCCAAATATGTCAGGTTCATATCCCTAGGCTTTAGGCCTTTACGAAAACCTACATCTGCGCCTATAAATATACGCGCATGGTGTAGGTATTAAAAGTTGAGCGTATAAGGAATCTATCATTCTGTAGTGTTTCTTGATATTCAATAGAAGAGAGTTTTCACTGTTCGATAAATATTCATATCATTATTTGAATCTCTGCTTTGTTATATCGATGAATCCATTCTACTGATTGTCTAATCTCATACTTTGGGACCAACAACTGGTATCAGAGCCGATCAAGTGAAGATCAGAACTGCGAAGAACTGCAGAGAATTACTTTGTTTTATGTTTTTCGATGCTTTAGTATTTTAGCTCCTGTAATCTTGTTTTTGCTCGAATCTTTGTAAAAGATATACTGCTGAAATCACCTCTTCAAAACGATCAACTAGTATATCTTCTTTTTCGATTCCTGTAAACTTCAGGTTTTTGATTTCTCGATATTGTAGTATCAAAAAACAGGTTTCTCGACATCGAAGAAGGGTTTTCGATCTAAAACCACTGCAGGACGTTTCTCGACATCAAGGACTTAGCAGAATAACTTTTAAAATTGCAAAAATCAAAATTTTCTAAGTACATGTTCTCGATATCTTGGTTTTTGAAGTGTGTTCTCGATATAAGTTTCTCGATATTGTTTTTCGATATTTGATTTCTAGATATCCGTTTTCGATAAACAAGTTCTCGAATTCTGTTTTCTCAAATACAAGTTTCTCGAACTCCAATATCGAAATCTCCTTTCTCGATAAGCTTTTCTCGAACTCTCAATTCTCGAACTTAGGTTTTCGATACTTTGTACTTTGAATGTTTCACAGATCAATACTTGAACGGTCAATTTTTAGAAGAACAACAAAATGGACGCTTTAGCTCTCGGAAACAGCAACAACCCTCCAATCCTAAGGAGAGGAGAATACCAAATGTGGAAGAACCGCTTTCTGAATTTCCTCGAGAGTAAAGATAATTCATCAGCGATGCTGGAATCGTTGAACCAAGGACCTGTTGAGATATGGATGAACGTAGCAGAAAACGATGGCAACAATCCTCTAGTTGTCCCGGTTAGAAGATTGAAAACTGTGGCTGAGTACTATGAAGAGGATACATTGAGAGTGAAAGCTAAGATGATTTAATGGCAAAGACTTTCCTACTTCAAGCAATCCCTAATGATATCTACATTCTGATTGACAGCATGCAGACAACTAAGGAAATGTGGGATGAAGTTGCCAAACTAATGCAAGGGACTGGTATTGGACTAAAGACAAAGAAGGTCAGCACACTGACTGCCTATGACTCCTTCAAAGCCATGCCTGGGGAACCACTTCATGAAACCTATAACAGATTTGTTAAGCTGATAAACGAGTTGAGAAAGATCAATGTGTTCAAGTCCAATGTGGAAATGAATATACGGGTTCTGTCAAGTTTAAACCCAGAATGGAGGAGAACTGTGAAGAATGTGAGGCAACACCTGGATTTGGATGAAGTTGATCTATGTACCATTCATGACCATTTACAGCAGTTTGTGAATGAAACTGCTGATATGGAAGGACAGTTTGCTACTGATCCATTGGCACTCATGATGGAAGCATAACCAAAGAAATCATCCAAGATTCTGAAAAAGAAAAAGAAAGCAGTAGTTGTGTCTGAGGAAGAAGAAAGTGAAGAAGAATTTGATGTTGAATCTGAGTTAGCTGAGTCGCAGAAGAAGATGGCCCTGTTGATCAAGAAGTTTGTGAAGAAGAACAATTCATCAAACAAGCTGAGAACATCTTCATCCAACTACAAACAAAAGAACAATGATCAGAATGCCTCTGGAAAGGCAGTTGCAGCAGAAGAACCTCCTAAGTGCTTTAATTGTGGAAAAGATGGACATGTTATCAAGGACTGTCGCTTACCAAGGAGGAGGGACTTCAACTACTATAAACAGAAAATGCTGCACTGCTTGCCGAGAAAGATCATTGGTTGGATGACTCTTATGATGATGAAGATGAGGAGAACTTGGCTTTGATGGCGATTGTTGAGAATGAAGAAGAAAAGAGTAATGCGGCGATCCCTGAAATAGAAAGTATGTATGTATGTATGTATGTATGTATGTATGTATGTATGTATGTATGTATGTATGTATGTATGTATGTATGTATGTATGTATGTATGTATGTATGTATGTATGTATGTATGTATGTATGTATGTATGTATGTATGTATGTATGTATGTATGTATGTATGTATGTATGTATGTATGTATGTATGTATGTATGTATGTATGTATGTATGTATGTATGTATGTATGTATGTATGTATGTATGTATGTATGTATGTATGTATGTATGTATGTATGTATGTATGTATGTATGTATGTATGTATGTATGTATGTATGTATGTATGTATTTATTTCAGGGTAATCATTTCTAAGGACTTTTGTTGTGTATAATTTTTACATTAATCAGTGTGGCAGCGTTTGAAACCCACATATTAGAAGATATGGCTCTGGCTCACCATTAGGCAGGTAGACGATCCAAGCCATGAAAAGCATAATCTACTATGGGTTGGGTAAGATTGGGGAGTGCTAACCCATTTGACAACGTGAAATATAAATTGTGAATGAGGTATAAATAAATGAGACAAAAAAGTGAATCTACATTTAGGTATTGATATGGTAGATCTTGTGAATTACTCCTAATAAATAGATAAGTAATATTATGTCCCATTAAGATCAAGACATGTACTGCTATTAAAAATGAGTTTATCTAGCTAATGTTGAATTGAAAAAATAGGGACAATAATGTAGCAATGATTTAGAGCTATACATGTATTATAATATTTGGAGCTACACTAACTTAGTGAACCAACAAAAAAGAAAATACGTAGTAACATAGAAAGTTTATGAGACATGATGTAACTATAGTTACCATATGTTGGAAAGAAATAAGAAACAATTCATAAAATACCTAAATAATGGAGCATCTTCAAGAATTTATGGGAAAAAGAAATAGTGAGTAACATTTTTATTTTAAGAGGGGCTAAAAATTGTTAATCATTTTTATGTTGATTATTTGCATTTTATACTACTCGTGATTGTAAAATTTTAT